GCCTTCAAATTCATGTGCTTTACTTTAAGATAGTAAATAATAATAATCCTTGTATTTGATATAAGGCCTTATCACGTCTTCGAGATGTCTCAAAGTGTTTTACAGAATCCCTTATGCTTTCTGAAAACCCAAATAAACAACATCCATCAATCTTTCTTTGTTTAGGGATTCGCCTTTGCTCTTGACAAAACATGTTGAAATTGTGCTTTATCAGAAAATGCTCATGGTGGTTTGGAGTTTGTACTTGTACAATTTCTCCAGCTCCTTGATGTGGCTACTGCAAATTGTTCATCTATCATAGCTATCACCATAATTAATGACTACTTAATTGGAGATTTTTGTGCAAAGATGTATCTTTGCCGCTTTTGATGCCAGAATGCACATCAAAACCTAGATTATCTACCATAATAGAGGGGAGCCACCCCGTGGATAATTTAAATTGACAAATAATCAAAGATTTATTGCATTATCTCGAAGGTTTGATACTTGAGATAAAAACAGAAATCTACCTTTGGAGTCTGGGGTTGTGTTTGTTGCTGTTAGGTTAAATACAAGGATAAATATAATACAAAACATTAGAACTCTTGCTATCAGATTTTTTTTAACAAAAATGTATTTAGTTATATAGTAAAACATCACATATCCACATGCTAAATAGCCATCAGACTGCATATTTACAGCAATAGGTAAATAAAGTTGGGCAGAATTGTTCAGAGAAAATCTATAATTGCATATGTATGAGTATTTTCCCATTTGAACAGGGAGCATGAGGTACAGAGATCTAATATCGGTAGAGTGTAGTGAGACAGAGACAGTCAAAAAGAGAACATAAGTGAGAGAGAGGAGAGAAAGTGTGAAAGATAAGGAGAAAAGCTGATGTAGTAAGTACAGTGCGATTGTAACAAAATAACTCCTGAATTAAGACAATTTGGTTTAGTATCTGTATTTAGTCTGATGGCCTGATATGCATTGCGTTTACATATCTAGCCAGTGTCAGTCTGGCTCAGTTGGTAGCTTTTGTGTCAAAAGTTATGGGATCAAACCCCACATACGGATTTTGAACTCAGTCTAGGGCTGACAATCCAGTGCAGTGGTGGAGGTGCTATGTTGGAGATTCTGTTCTTTAGATGAGACATTAAACTGAGATCCCATTTGTCTGTCCAGGTGGTTGTTAAGGATTCCATGGCACAGTTCAAAAACAGAACTGTTTGGGTCACAGTGCTGTGCCAAAGTAGATTTTTTTAGACAACATTTGACTAAAAATACATTTTATAATGTATTTTTTATTATGCTTCCAGTGAATCCTGGCATTCCATTCTCATAGAAATGTCCATGTGTACATATGTGGAACTCCCAATTTGGTTTGATTACTCTTAAACATGATGATCAATATCCAGATGTGTTGGACACCCAGCTGATCCAGAAAATTAAAATTTTCAGCTTACTGTCATCGCCAAACCATGGGCAAGAAATGGAGCTAGAAACCTACAAAAAGCTTTTTGTAAAAAAGAATCTGTGAGACCAGATGGAGGAACACAGTTATTTGTAGGGATGATATGTTGGGTGTCTAAAGCGAAAACAAAATAATAATAATAAAAGAGGAGATGGCAAAAGCAATAGGAGTGCAAATTAGCAATGCAAAGGAAAAAGTAGTCATTGACAACTGCTAGCAAACATCAGCACAAGTGAAACAGATAAAAAGATAGCAGTTTAGGAATCATGGTGGGTTTCAATACTCTGTGGGGGAAATTCATATACTAGGGACAACAGGAACGGAGAAGTGAGAAGGAATTTAACAGAGATAATCTTCAGGTTCCTAGATAAGGATACTCAAGTAGATGCTAGATTTGATTTATTATTTAGCAGTCCATTAGAACAGATTAACAACATGGAAGTTGGGTAAATACCTATGTTCCAATGGTAAGTGTATAATTAAATTTATTGTATTTAGTAAATTCTGAGCTTTTTTTTTTACCTTTAAGGGGGCAGAAAGTCTATTGTCAACTTTGATGTTAGTACTCAATCAAACCAGTATTCAACATCAAAATTTGTTGCTAGTGCTCAACTTTCTGAACTGTGTCCAATTATAGACTTATCCTTCATTGCTATTACTGGAAGAATATGGCAGCTTTTCAACAAACACACTTATAACCGAGTTTATTAAACCATAGTAGAGTATTTAATTGGATATAACAGAACAAATGTTTGATGAAATCTCTTAAATATGTTACTTATCGGCGACCAAATTTTTTCTCCCTCATGGTATAGTTCTGCATTCCGAGGAAGTCCCAGTGGTGTAGTGGATAGAGTTGCAGAAGAGATTAGGAACTCACTGATTCAAATGCTTTTGCTCATCTTATTAGCTCGTGGTTGTATTGGCTGAAAGTGGTTGGTGGGGGGAGAGTGGACGGGGAGAGAATAGAGGTTCCTGGTCCCCCTGTAGCACAACGTCTATTGGGTGTGTGTGTGTGTGTGTGTGTGTGTGCGTGCGTGTCTGTGATAGGGGCAGGGCAGGCGCAAGATCAAATGCAAGAATCCGATTACTGCACCAAAATCATTTAGCCTAATTATCACCTAATGTTCTTTACAATCTGTCGCTGTAACTAAATTAATGAAAGATCAAGAGAGAAAGACAATCCACACACCCCGTTTCCTAAATTTTTTTAAGATTTATATACAATTCCTTTAGACTTCTGAACAGCCCGGGTTGTGATAATGTTAAATAAAACGGTATATTTCAGCTATTTGGAACTGTGCATCCTTTAGCTTCGGTGAAGAAAAAATAGATTTCTACTACAGGAAGGAAGCTATTATCTAAAGAGATCACAAGGCAGTATAAAATTAACTTACTTCCTGCAACCATTTTTGTACTAGTAAGAATAATACAATAAATTTATAAATCTTAAAACATTTGGTTTAATTTCGTTTAAAAACTGTTAACCTTTTCTATGCTACGCTAAAATTGATTTGCGAATTGCAAAAATAAAGCTTGAATCACTGACAACATACAGTGGAGCCTTGAGATCATTTTGTTTTAAAAAGGTATGGTAATGTAGAATTGTGAGAAATTCTTGATTTCATTCTTTAATTTGTAAAATGGATCTTTTTAATAGCTGTGGAAAAATCAAATTGTGAATTAAGGCAAAATTGAAGGATTTTACACAATTCTGAGCAATCTTAATTTTAAGAAAAACAATCTGCAGATGAAGACCAAGTGGGTTTTCAAGACATAAGACATCTAATAATTTCAGTGTAAAGAAAACATGAAAGGATCTGGACCTATGTAAATGCCAAAACCAATGTAAATGTCATACTCAGCACCAATCATCCTAGTTTTTATCCCAGGAAAATGTACAGAAAAGAAGAGGTATTATAGTTTTAACAGATTTATTTTTCTTCCTCTTTGGATACTGGAATAATCCCACCTCTGAACAGCATTTCTACTGAACAGCAAGCGAAATGCAAGTACAAGTACAAACCAACCAGGTGTACCACACTTCAGGATAGCACGGATTGGCTTATAGCGCAGTCATATCTTGGACTAGAGATGTACTGAAAATTAATTACATTTTTGACTTCCAGGGCTGACTGGTTGGCTTCTTGTGCACAAGCACGGAACATCTCATGCAAGATAATGTCATCCACAAAATATACATGTCAATTCACTTTACAGTATATTCTGTGAAGCGCTTTGAGACATCTCAACGATGTGATAATTATTATTATTATTATCATCATCAGTAGTGGCTAAAGAACTTGGAAGCATTGACTAGTGCCATTTTGTACCGTACCTCGATCAAGTGGAGCTAGCAAGAACAAGTGTGGTGGGGGTACAGAATGTAGTGCAGGTGAGTATGCAGACAGTGGAGTTTTAGATTAATAATAATAATAATAATAATCCTTGCATTTGATATAGCGCTTTTCACGTCTTCTAGACGTCCCAAAGCGCTTCACAGAATATACTGTAAAGTGAATTGACTGTGAATCAACTGGATTTCGTGCACGGTAGAGCTAGGGGGTCCAGTGAGGAGGGCATTTGAGAAGTTGGCAAGATAAGCAGCGGGAAGCTGATCAGTCAGTATCCGTAATAATAATCCATGTCGTTTTAGTTGCTTAAATTATAGCAGTCCCCAAATGCAAACGTTGTGATCCCCAAAGTGGATCTTGACAACCTGTGCCTAATACTTTGGGGGATTAGGTAAGTAGAGCACGTCCCACCAGGGAGAGCTTGCAAACCGTGAGCCCGATCCTGTCATCAGCTGGGATGGATAAACAAGCATTTCCCAGGATGAACAATCACAGATTTTAATGCTGGGTTGTTAAATACCATTGTAGCATTCAAACCCCTACCCCACCTGAGACCAGTTAATTCAGAGCAGAGCTGGGACCATGGAATCTTATGGACTACATGGCTCAATTCCACAGTGACAAATGCCATTACCAAATAAGCTACTGAGGAAGCATAAGATGTTGCTATATGTAATGTCAGTTTACACGCTTAAAAATAAAACCTCAGTAGTCAGTGTGCATTCCACTAAACACAAATCAAATGTTATAACTGCACGCTATGTACTATCCCTCATCAGATACCCCAAATCCAGCATAAAAATAGCCCTTTAATCACCAACACATTACTCAGCTAAAATTTATGAAAAAATAAATGTTTAAATGAAGATCAAAAACATTAGTTCTAATAAGTGGTTCTAAGTGTGCCCTACTGGAAAGGAGCAAGGCATCGCCATCTAGTGGCCTGACTGAGAACTGATTAAACTCATTGAACTGAAAGTGAGTTAATAAACAAATATTCATGGGTTTTTAAGATCACAATTTCTGGCTGGAAGCCAAACACATTACTATTAAAATCCCAGGTTTGCCATGACAAGTGTATTCATGTACCTGTACTTACATCAAAAATCATTCCTGTAAGAATTGTTCAAATGTTCCAACATAACTCATAATTAATAGAATATAACAGATTTTCATTTTATGCTAGTACATACAGGTATGTAGGCACTCTGTGACGGTGGTGGCATCAATCAAATATCCGTTGCACAGACGACATGTGATGTGAGCATTGATGTCCCACAGCTTAATCTTCCTAGTCAGCATCTTTGAACCCTTCAGTGGAAAACAAAAGAAAATGTTACTTTCTTTAAATAAAAACTTGTAATGCATGTTGAATAAAACCAATACACTAACAGATGGTGGAATGTATTGTTAATATGAAGAAAGACCAAAATTCCACAAATAAATTTTAAAGTCTATCTCATAAGCAGAACAAACCTGAAAATCCACCATTTTGCTGTGCATTCAAACAGTATCAGAAGAAACATTCTGCTAAACAATTTTTTTTTGATCAAACAGGTGTCTGACACATGTGGAATCCCATGCTTAACAGTATCCAAGACAGAGTTCCACATACACATGCCATCTTTAGCATGTTTGATGGGACGGGGGGAGGGGTGGGCGTAAGCTTCAGGACTCTTCTGTGGAGCTGAACTGGCTTGACAACTGGATGTCAGAAAACAGTTAATCCACTGTGGGGGTCTCAGTATTGTGGTTGCTGAGCCAGGCAGATCCACAATATTCAGGGCACTGCTGGTGACTGACCCGCTCATCAGCGGGGCTCCAAGGGGTAGCCCAGTGGAAACAATAGTTGCCCTTAGTTTGCCTTTCCAAGTTTTGCCGATGAGCCTGGTTGTCTGATCTGTCATCAGTCCTGCTCTGGGATATTGTGGACTCCTGTCTGTTTCAGGAAACAGCCTATCAAGACAGTCACAGAGAACTCACTCAATTCCTACAATCCACAGCCACCTCAAATCCAAAGAGATCCCACTTAGCTCCCCCAAGAATGATAATCACTAGTTGGTCATTTGAAATCCATCCTCATTAGGTGGATATCACATATCAGGATCTTCCTTCCTGCAAGCTTTGTCATGTCATGCATGAGAGCATTCCCACCATACTCCTGCCCACAACTCAAACATGCATTCATTCAGTCAATGGATCCACCATTTGAAAGTGTGCAGCTTGAGTAGCACCTCACCTCCATATAGCCAAATGAAGGTCCTGATATATGAGCATATGTTCACAAACCCTAACTCCAGGTAACATCTTCCAGCAGCTGTGTCCCAAGCCTCAGAGTTTCATTAGCTATTTGATAAGACATCTATCTACGTTCAGCGTGGTGGGAGAACCTATGCCAGACACCTTGATGTTCTACAGGTCAAAATCCAATGACGCATATGAGGTTTACTTGACACCGACTGCTTAATCCAGGTCCTCATCTGACGGACATACGCAAATACACACACCTGCCATGAAGCTGACTTTGGCTAAAGGATGCTCAGCCACAGATCAGTGTGGGCCAGAGCCCCTGCTGCCACTTCCCTTTTTGTACTACAAATCTAGCGCACTCCATAGTTCTCGACTTCGAAAATGCACCAAAGTAAATCCATCCACTGCATGCACAGGAGCTCGGAATTCTATTTGGACACGCATCTTATACCCCACAAGCTTATTTGTGTTAGGACTTTGTTGTCATTAAAAAAAAAACAAGAATAATCAGTGTGTCCTTTATTTCTCCTCAGCATGGTTCCAAAATAATTTCCAAGTACAAAAAAGTGTTCACCATGGCTCCTCACATAGAATATGAATAAACAATTGAGATGGATCACCCTTCTCTTTTAAATAATATTGTAATCAAGTATTCCATGCATCCCACCTTTTCATGGAAATTCCAGAGAAATTTATTAGAATGAATGCACACTCATTCCCCGGAGAGATGCATCCTGCTTACCTAATTCATTGAATCGGGTGGGTGCCAATGGGCAGCCCTGCCTTACCCCTCTTTCAAGGGGCATAGGCTCAGTGAGTCCACCATCAACCCTGACATGGATCTTGGAACTGGAATACACATTCTGGATAAGATCCAAGATTTGGCCATGTATTCCACGGCTTCCTGTTTCATCACGAAGGCATCATGATGCATTCGGTTGAAAGCCTTACAGAAATCGATGAAATCTGTAGTTCTCGGTCCCACGAGGGCCCCTCTCTGGTCGATATAAATCACAATTTCATTCTAGAATACTGATGGAGTGCATGCTGTAGAGAAAGTTCTGTTGACCAGCCCAAGTAGACAGCTCAAAGGTGAGTTGGAGGTTCCTGGCTTGGGTCTGGAAGGTCCTCGCTGTTCTCCATCCCTCCCCTCAGTGCAGCTTTTAGGAACTCAGCATTAATACTGTCTGCATCTGCTCCTTGTTACTGGCAAGGCACCACAGTGCAGTCTCCCTCGCCAAAACAGATTGGGTCATTAAGACCTTCATCAACTCATCCACATCTTCTGCCAGCTCTTCCTGTTCATGCAGATGGATCACTGCTACGGCTTGTTGGATCAGATGGCAACTCTGCATAATGCTCTTCAAGACCCCAAGGATACCCTCAGTGGTCTGTTGTAGAATAATGGTCCTCTCCAACACTGACACTACCCCAGAGGGGTGCCTTCAGCATGACCAATAACAGACTTCATGAAGGAAGAATCAGAAATTTGGGATTGTTCTTCTATAGTTGCACCCCTTTGTGGAATGATGCAACCCAATGATCCCACTTAATTTCTCTAATAACCTTCCTGGCTTCATGCTGTACTTGATCATAAATTGGCTTCACTGCAGTTTTAGCTTAGTCCAAGGAAGATTCCAAAACCACTTTAAAGGCCCTCTTTATTTGCCTTGTAGCTCTCCTTCTATTTGTGGTTGCATTTTCAGGGTCCCTGGGGCACCCATTATCATGTCCCACTGAGTGGCTAAGTGCTCAAGATAGTGACTCCAACCCATGTGATCTCAAGGTGAGTGTGCTAACAGCACATCATCTGCAAACAAAAGGGCCACAATTCTAACAGAAATGAGGTAGTACCTTAGATTAATTGCCGAACATTAGGTAACCAATGAACAGGAGCCACAGTATTATAAAAAAAACAAAAGTCCTCCAGACACTGGAAATTTGAAACAAAAATGGAAAAATGTTGCAAATACCACAATTAGTGAGCAGTTGAAAGAGAGACAAGCTAATGTTTCAGATAGGAGCCTGAACAATTCCTGGTAGGCTCACAATAATTGCACCAATTTTTAATTCTCTCCAGGTGCCACAGGTTCCCACTGCTTACCTAATGAAGTAGAAATTTGTTTTAAATCCAATTAATACCATTTAAAAGAACAAAACATGCCTGGCCAGCACCTGCATACTTTGCAGGGGATAATCCAAAGCCTTCCACCTCTCTTGTTCCCAACTCCCTGCTGGTTCCAAATCCATGACTGTGCAGCGCCTTGGTACGTCCTCACAATGTGAAAGGTGCTATACAAATGTAATTTGTTCTTGTTTATAAGATCTGTCAGTAAATTGTTTTAAAATAAGTACAGGATGCACCATTACTACCTTGGATAACAGCAAATCTCAATCAGGTGCTTTTAAGGTCACACATATCTCCAAGTCACGGCTCTGCAAATAACCATGTTGGTGAGAACTACTGCGTAGATAGTAATTTGCAGATTCAACTGTATACTTCTCACATCTGAAGCATGTTAAACCTGATAATTCCACCTAGCTTTAGCCTGTGAGAATATCTTATCTGAAAAAGTAAGATTGCTTAGAATTGTGGAAAATTCCAAATTCAGCCTTGATTTGAAAGAACTATGGAAAATGTCTTCCAAATTGTAACTGAATTTAAGAATTTTCCACAATTCTATGTGATCTTACATTTTTAGGTCAAAATTAATGTAACAGGTTAAGAATTTCAGGCTTAATGTGCTTTAGATATGAGGAGTATACAATTGACACTGCACATTACTCTCTGTGAGGTAGTTCTCGACAGCCAATCATTGTTACATTTTAGGATGAAATTGTCTCACAGGATAAGACTAGGTGAAATTAATGGCCTCAATTACCTCAATAAAAATGGACATTAAAATCTTAATAGAAATAAGATGGAGATGATTTTTGCTATTTCTCACAACCTCAAGAAGAGGTGATGCTTTGAATTTGCTGCATTAACTTTACTTATCAAAATTATATTGACAAGTAAAGAAACGCTTCACTTCAGTTGGAGAGTTAAGACGAGAATGCATGAAATTAAAACTGGAGCTCAGCCAATAATAGGAGAATCCAGAAAACATTCTTTTCTGGGGGGTCAAGAGAAACATGGAATGAACCGCCCCAGAAGGCCATATATAAAAAATTGTTGTTTGAGGCATTCAAGGCAGAAACATACATAATAATAATAATAATAATCCTTGCATTTGATATAGCGCTTTTCACGTCGGGAGGACGTCCCAAAGCGCTTCACAGAATATACTGTAAAGTGAGTTGACTGTATATTTGTGGGCGAACGCGGCAGCCAATTGCGCACAGCAATGTCCCACAAACAGTCGTAGATTGAAAATGACCAATTTAATTATTGTTTTTTGGTTTTTTTGGAGGGATTATTATTAGGCGTGTGGAGTAAGGAAACTTGCCCAAGGTTTCCACAAACAAAGATACTTGGAAGTAAGAATATTAAGGAAAACAGGGAAAGGAAAATGGAATGATAGAATGGCCATAGACTTAATGTGTGTACAGGCTCACAGGCCAAATATTTCACTCTTGCTCCTATAAACACTGCAATTTTCTACTTTAGGTTTCCATCACAATATATCTTTCCATCAAAATATATCTTCCGACTAACATCTTGACGGTTAGAATGAGCTGGATGAGAGCAGCTTGTTTATGTGCAGCACAAGTGTTATTAGGTAGGATTATCATGGTCACATAACAAAAGAAAATTGGTCAATATGAACATGCTATGATACAAATCTGATCTTGCTCCCTCTCTTTCATTTAATTTCCACTCAAGCGTGAGGATTAATAACAATGTTGGGAAATCCAAACGGGGGCACATTGATTAAAAACCCAAATGCCATTGCCACTCCTAATGCAATACCAAGCCAAAGAAAGGGAATTTCTTCGGTTGTCTTGGCCAACAATCCTCCAGATAAATTGGTCATTTACTTCATGGCTGTGAGACGCCAATATGCACAAATTATCTGCTACATCTGTCTACAAGTACTACACTTGACAACCTGTGAAGT